AAAGTTTTGATAAAAAAGGGAGGCACATTTACTTTTTGTTTTTTCGCCACCGTCGAAACTGTGCCAATTCTAACAGTCAAAATCAAAAGTTGAAACTTCTTGGCTCATTCACATTGAAAAGGTAAAGCAGTCGAAAGTGTTTTAGTGGTAATACGATCCACCAGCAACCACTCGCTTATAGAGCTGCCAATAAATCTTTCTTCCAAGGGCTGCTTAAAAGCCAGTTTATGACAGCTGTGTCCTCCTGGCATGTAGGACCAATTTTCCAGGAAAAAGAATCACAGAAAGATTGCTCGCGGATTCAATCTCTCAACCCTTGCAATTGTAATAACGCTAAATGTTAATCATTGTTAACAATTAGATAGCAGTGTAAGTCAGATACATTCGTCAATTCAATATTTTCTGTGCTGACATTGTCCTCATAAATTCTGCTGTGTTTATTCCAAACACCGTAGATTTACATTCATCAAAACATCTAGCAGCAGAAGGCCCGTTCAGTGCACCTACTACATATACCAGGCATGGGCAACCTTTGACGACGTGTGGACCTGATTGATATACTTACTTGCGTGTGGGCCTGATTGATATATCTCTAAACTTAACGCAATCAAACTGTTAACAGTATTAATGATTGCTGCTTTACAGTTTGACATGTGCAGCACATGTGCCTGTGTTTTGGTCTTTTCTTGCATACGAGGGAAAAGGACGTCGGCTAGGACAGTAGAGCTGCATTATAGGTGGAGCCCTGTTGCTGAGTTGAAAGTAGGTAACAGAATTCACTCGTTTCTGAACACATACATACATACACACAGATGCCCTCGACATTGTGTTTTTGCATTCGAATAAGATGGAAAAGTACATAAAAACAAATTACTTTTAACCGAGTTGTTTATTTTGTAAGAAAATAAAAAACAACAGATTAATACGAGCTCTGGGCTTAAACTTTTGACACAAAATTGCTGAAATTTGTTTAAAAGCATTTTCCAGTTCGTCGTCTATTAGTCTGGTGCCTATTTTAGTTGTATTATGCTTTTTCTGCCGTACAATAGTTGCACAAAACGCATATTGTCAGGAGGTTTTCTGTATATGTTTGTTTGTGTATGTGTGTGTGTGTCGATGCGTCTTGTCCGCAGCTTTCAACTTCGGGACTGCAAAAGCTAGGGAGCTGAAAATTTAGAGGGCTATTCAACGTCCAAATTTAATTCCAGCCTTTCCCTGCCCCAGGATACAGCTTGCGACCAAGGAAGTCCTGCCAGGAAAATTATTATCTCGAGAACCATGAAGGCTAGGAAGCACGAACTTTTACGGCAATGACCCCTGCTTACGTACGACCTTGGTAATTTAAAAACAGCCTTCCCGCAAGCCCGGGTATAAAATACGGCCCAGTGCAAATTTTGACGGGGAGAACTATAAAAGCTAGCAGACTCATAATTTCAGGTGGATGTTTTATGCCTATGCGGGGGCCTCACAAACTCAAATTTAGTTCCCAAATATGCCAAGATATCATGCGTGACCTTTAAAAGTTTTAGCATGATAATTACTCGAAAGCCATAAATCAGTTGAAATTTTGGAGAGATGTTCACGTCTAAAGTTTTAAATTCAGTTCTCTTGTAAGATGCGTGAAATTTTTCATGAATAATTTCGCAAGTTAGGAACCAGACAACATTTCACCTATTTTAGCACAAAACAAAGTGCAAAGCAATGAAAATACTTAGCACGCAAACATCCGCTGGATGAAATTGCGCAAAACGCATAATTATACCGGCTGCCCCTGGTGGGCACCGCTATTTTCGTGAGAATTTTTGTTGATATTGGGCATTGCTTTGAAGGTTTTACAAACCTCTTATTCGTCTAGTTAGGCGCCAAATTCCGATTCATTCCGCAGGCCGGATTAAAACCAATCGCGGCTCGAATCAGGCTCATGGCCCGCTGGCTGTCCACCTGTGACATGCACCAATACATTTTTTACTTTAGCTTTTGTTTTTACCAACGATTACTGGAACAGAGGGAATTTTTAATCTCAGTCGATGAGGCCGAAATCCCCACGACTTGGGCTTCAGCCTCGCTGACTGAGATTAAAAATAACTGCTTTAAACACAAAATTCGTCTTACAAAAAGGCTGGGCGTGCTCGAAATCCTGTAGCCAGTCCCCAGCTCCAAGATTTAGGAGTTAGCAATCCTGCCATATTTTACGTAAAATGTGCTCAGTTCCCATTTGTGCTGGATCTGTCCATTTGTAAATGTGCACGTATTCGTATGTTGCGAAGATGTTTCTTGTACCTTTGAGATGGCGAATTTCTAAGCCATCACTCGGATATACATGGCTAACTTTCGCTATGAATGTTGTATCCAAGTAGTCTGGTGCTTGACTTTCGGCTATCATTATTGCTATTATTCTTGATAATATTATAATAATAATTATTATCATTATTAATACTATTATTACCGTTAATATCAATAATTGGTATTGTTCTTATCACTAATATGGCATATTATGGAAACAGTCAGAGAAAGAATCAAGCTATTTAGTTGTTTAGTGCTTTGCATCTGACTTCCGTTATAAGCAACACTATTTTAATTAACCTCCCTTTCAGGTACTTATGGCAAACATATTTATAGGTGACGCTACTCTCCTACTATTGGTGGAGGATTGAGTTTTAACAGTAAGAAAACCATTCATCCAACGATCCGTTGGTTTTTTTGTGCCAACCTGATACTGGCATACACTACGGAGTTAAACCCGTCATGAGATTACTTCTAAGCAACTCTCTCGAAAGAGAGCCATCGAAGTTATGCCAGCAAGTAGTTTTTGGCATGTTTTACGAATCTAACTGCTTCCGATCGCCTTCACCTCTTCTAGAAATGGAGCAGTTGGGAAGGAGATTAGTTTTGGACAAGTATTTCTGTAGTACACCCTACCTTTTTTTGAAAATTAAGAGCTTGAAAACGACGTAAAAATCTTAAAATTTAAAAATGTGACTGCAAAAATCCGTTTTTGGACCAATAGATTTATCAGAACATTTGATACAAAAAATATAAACTTAATTTCGTGAGGTATTTCAGAGATTTCAAATCATTTCAGGCACTCTGTATGACATGAGCAAGTACTGTATACACTGCTAACAGATTTCGAAAAAGGTGCAGAAATCAATGCGGTACCGAATCAAGATGCACTGCTTCATGTTAATAGATAGAAACAAGCTAGACCACATTTAAATCAGTTAATCTGGACAACATAAAGTTGATTATCAAATTGACCAACGCGACTACCAGCCAGGAAGCGTCAGTTGGCCAAGAAGTTGTCAATAATTGGCCGAGAATAATATCGTTTCCAGGAGCTGAGCTGAATTTGAACGGACGCCGCAACGACAACGAATGTTCCTAACCTGGAGTCCCGGTGTTCTTGCCGATACATACCGACTGCTAAATTTTGC